GTTCCAATTAAACTTCGTGGAGATGGTATCGTCTTCGTCGTCCTCCTCGTAAGAATTTGATTATTTGTTCAAGTTATTATTGATTAGGAATTATGGAGTAGAAAAAAGTAGTCCTTTGCTCAGTTTTACTCCAGATACCTTCGAAGATCTCTCTCCGACCATAGGTAATACTGATTTTATTTTTCCCTTCATATCTTTTGTATTAAAACGAATTTGAAGTTTTGATCTCAATATTCACATATGGTTATGATTTTGGATGGAAAGGTAGGATTTTACGAGAATGTTTGAGTTGTTGAATTCTATTTAATCTAGCAGAATTTCATGTAATTGTGTTTGTTTTAGGTTGTTGTCGGTTAGTCATCGAATTGAACTCTTTCAGAATATGAAGAATTATAAGGAGAGTGAGAAATAGAGAGATATTGTCAGCAGAAATAGCAGAATTGTGGAACATAGGCCATGTTATGAAGACCTTTGCAATATAGTTCCTTTTTAAAATTTCTTTTTTTGAATCCTATTGAATTGGCCGAATGTTTGTTCTTCTTTTGTGTTTCAAACCAATTTTAAATGTACATGAAATATGGAATATTTGCTGATCAATTGGTTTCATGTCAATTTATCTTATGTTAGTTGGACAAAGGTGCAGACCTTTCAACCCTGGTAAAAGTTCTCATGACTTACTATTTTTGGGGATATGATCATGTTTGCATTGGTGTGGTGTATACTGTCTCCACCAAACCTGGTTTATTTTGAACCTATTTAATTGCAAAGTGAAAATTGAAGTGGAAGGGAGGCCTTTTTATGCCTTAGGTTTGAACGCATAAAATTTTGGTTTATTGAACCGGTAGACATTCTTTGTTGTTGTTCCCTAAATGTGATCTATATTAGAATACATTATCAATCACTTTAAAATTAATTGGGTTACAGAGGTTCCTTCACTGTCAACAAAGTGAATCACGTGAAAGACTAATCAAATGTAGTTTAGTATACGTTCACGAAAACATCGCATCAAATTGGGACCAAAATTTGTCATAAATCCTCACTCACTAGATATCTGCACCAAAATTTGTACTTCTTTTATTGACTTTATATACTTATGATATTATAATGTACTCTTTTTCTGACTTTATGTTTCTAATATTTGACTGTTTTATAATAAAGAACTAAAATACCATCTCTTTATATGTCTATGGTTCAAAAAAGTTGATTAGCCTTGAGAAATTACCTCCATGTCTAGATTTGAATATTTTTCTCTAATTAATACGCCTAGGCTCTGTTTGATATGTATGTTGGATTATTTAAAAATTTTTTGGAATATAATGATGAGCTACTTTAGTAGCATGATAAGGCTCTTGGTGTAAGGGAAAATAAATGATAGCATACAGATTTGCTACATACATTAGTGAGCCACTAACTTGATGTCCTAATTATGATAGTTTATTTATGGTAAATTTTGCTTTACCAGGCAAATAAAATGCTGGACACTTGGCTACTCGTCTTAATATTAGTACCTGATGATTGGGAATGCTTTGCGGAGAAGCTACCCGTTTCTACTTTGGATTGACTAAGCTTAGAGCATATTGCATTACTTCATATATAAAGCTCATTGTCTTTTTGTTGTTCTTCAGGTTCAGGAACTTCACTGATTGTACCAGATACAGATAAAACTAGCGAAGAATTTGCAACTGAAAGGGGTAGGTACATTAAGAAAAGATAATCACTGTCTCTGTACCATTTAAAAAAACTTTGTTTCGTAAGACTTTCTGGTGGCTTTTGCTTCTCTGCCTTACTATGCTTCTTGCAATCTATACCAACAGTCATTTGGTTGTCAATAATGAGAAAAAAGATAAGTATTTCGAGTTTCTTTACCCACTAAATGTCAAAAATAGGAATCTATTATGTTACTCTAGAAGAACTTTCAGAGAAGGAAACACTCTTCTATAACTTTGCGCATAAACGTTTCTATTGTTTATTCTTAATTTTCTTTTTATCATTTACTATATAATTTCTTCATCTATCTGGAACAACTTTCATTGGTGCATATTCTTCAGCTGCTCGCCAAACGACTATGAATTATACTTCACATGCACTTAGTTGATTCTTAAGATTTGTTCAACAAATAGTATGGCGAAAAATAATTTCATTGAGTTTGATCTTATGCAACTACTTGACTCTTGCTCAGTAAAGTCATGATCAACTAATAGGTTTGGAATTGTTTTTACGTACATCCCTATACTTTTATTTTTACTACTAATTAGGCATTAGTTTCTGGTCTCCTTTTTTATTTTTTGCACCAATGTTTCCATATGTCAAACCTTTTCCTACAAACCTGGTCTGATGGTAGTGTTGACAAGTGATTCTTTGATAATCCTGTGCGGGTATAAAATCTAGCCTTTATACAAATAGTTCTATTATTGTTATTCTTTGCACTGCTGCATTTAAAGTAGTACCGCCATTTTTGTCAAGACAATCCCAAAACAATGGGAAAGTGGTTCATTCCAAGCTCACTTTACTCGAGAAAACAAGGCTTCTTCACCTCCTAAGGCTACTACTTTGATTCTTTTGTAGCAACCGATCCTAATTTATGAGTTCCTAATACAGAAATTCATAAAGCTCAAGTACTACCTTTTACTTCTTCCCCATTTGGTGAATACAAATAGTCTTATCGACTAAAGAAACGAATAGAATACAAAGTAAAGTTAAAAATAAAAAACAAGCTACATTTCATAATGAAATGATTAAGTAATTGTAATTCAAATTATTGACATAGAATTCAATAAAACAAACTATTTTTATACTTTCTCTGTAGCATTAATTTTAGTTACGAACACAGTATAATAATTATATAATACAAACTGGCCGCGCGTGCGCGACAAAGACAAGCTTAGTTAAGAAAATAAAATACTTGTAATTACTTAAATATTCATAAAAAAACGCTTGCATGACTAACGACATATACACGAATGAATAACCCTTGGTATGTTCAAACCTTTAATTTTCTAAGGAAGATCAACAAAATACTTTATCAATACATTTCTAATTGACAAACTTTAAACATTTGTATATGTGGTTAATTATTTCAATACGTGTTCCATTTTTGGTATGGGAGAATGATTAACCAAAATGTTAATTGGAGAAAAAGAAAAGACAGTTTTATGAGAATTTTTTCAGACAAAACCTGTCAATAGCAAATCACAGGAGTGGACAATATTAACAACCTCAAATGTATGTCATGTGAAGTGATAGTCTCATAAATGATGAAATGAAACAAAAGTAAACCCAAGCAGGAAAAAATTCTCTTCAATGTCATCATTAAAAAGCTGTTAAAAACAGTCACTGTTGAATTGAATACTTTGGCTATATAAAAGTACCCACGCGCTGTCCCCACCTGTACAATCACCGGTAGGGTCCATTTCTCAGCCCTCAGCCAGCGCAATTAACGATGGCAGCTTTGGTGTGAATTGGCGCGTGAGGGATTCAGAGTAGTACAGCGAGTGGAAGAAGATATCATCGTAACGAATTTTGGCGGGTGCCGCGTTTTGCGGAACGTTACCGGTGAGACGGGGAACCTGAAACATATTTACCGCCGTAAGCCGGTATTTACTACTAGTATTGACGTCATTTACCTTGACGCTATCGACAGTGATAGATACGTCGCACGTGAGCTGACACGTGATCTATGTAATGGGGACATGACGAAGTATTTTTTGCACTCTGACAATGCCGTGAAAAAATCATTTGTAATTAATATTTATTCCTCATTTGTGCTAGAGTTTCTTTTCTTTTTTCATTTTTATTTATGCGTTCCACTTTATGAAGTTCATAAATCATCGTAACAGCGAGAAGATGTTCCAGAAGATGAATCATTTAGCTCTGTTTGGAAACTTTTTTTTCGTTTTTTTTTTCATCAGAATTATAAATGTCTCATTACATCATATATTTTGTGTCTGACACTATTTTGTTCACCATCACCGCTGATTTTTACGGAGGAACCATTATCGCTGTTATATGGGCAATAATGTCATTTCTTACCTATGATAAAGATTTTTTAATCTATCACGGTGTCCCAAAAAATCTATTTAATCTATTATAAGAATCATTAATTCATTGATGAATTGATAATTCTTAACTTAATGCAAAAGATAAAATAAGATCTTTAGTTAGAATCAATTCTCACAAAAACAAACTCTCAATGCAACAATTTTCATATTCTTTTGTTGTAGTTTGAGGAAATAACTCCATATCTTCAAAGACGATGAAAGAAGTAATTTTGCTAGATTTTCTGTCTTTTACTATGGTTTCAATAACTGGAATTAAAGTTATTTTATTCTTCTCTCTCTCTCTCTCTCTCCCTCTTTTCTTTTTTTTTTTTTTTGGTTTTGTCCTTCAATATATGATCTAGGTTAGTTGTTTTATATTCGCCGATAGGGTGACAGTTTTGTTAGCCATGTTTCCTGTTAGACTAATGGTTTTGTTGACAATGTTAGTTGGTATGATAATCATATATGGTTCAAGAAAATTCACTTAGCATATAATCTGATTATTAGATTTATGATATAGGGATTTCATCAAAAGATTAAAAAAAAATAATAATAAAAACCTCTTCTTGTTCTTCTATATCTTCTTCTTCAATAATTTTATTTTACTTTTAGTTATCAAGGGATGAATGTATTAAATTCAAGAGAACAAAAAAAATCAATGAGACTTAAGTGAAGGAAACCTATCGATCAACTTTGCAATTAGTAATTATCTGAACATGGACCAGATTAATAATAGAACATAAAGTAGTTTGTAGAGATTACAACATGAGGATTAAAAAAAATTATTGAATGATCTAATTAAAATCTCTTCTTTGTTAGAGAGTGGAGATGTAAAAATACACGAGTCTCTTCTTCAGTATTTTATATATATATATATATATATATATATATATATATATATAATCATCAAGACATGAATGCATTGAATTCAAGAGGAAAAAAAAATCAATGAAACTTTTTTGTTTGAAAAGGTAATCAATGAAACTTAAATGAAGGAAACCTATCAATCAACTTTGTAATTAGTAATTATATCTGAACATGTACTGGGTTAAGAATAGAAGATAAAGTAGTTGTAGAGATTACAACCCTGATGAGTGGAGATGTAAAAATATATCAGTTTCAAAGTTCAAACCTGGTCTCCATCGAGAAGAAGAAATGATTAAAAGTGACTGAAATTACATCGTCTCTACTTGCTCTGAAACATAAATGTGTCTGAATTACAATACAATTTAGTTACCAGAGGTTGAGAAGGGTACAAATTAAAGAGGAAAAGAGGCAAATAACTGAATGTTCTTCAGATGAGAATGCCTTTGAGTCCTCTTTGAGAGCATTTGCACCTAAGAATGACATAGGAAGTAAACCTATAAACCAAAATAAAGCATACCATTATGACAACATTCCTCCATCTACTTTCTTGACCATCCCCAACTTCCTTAACCACATCCTCACCGGTCACCACACAAGTCCCTAACATCTTCTCCAAGCAGCCGGAGCCGGCGAATTCGTTGACCAAGAAACCTTCAAAAGGGTACTTAAACAAGGAGATATAATGCATGAAAATCCAATAACTAGGTATCCCATGTTTGGATATGAAGTATCCTGAGAAAAGGAAGAATGAGCCCATCACCCCTGAGATGACTGAATTCCCAACAATGAAATTGGGGACCAAAGCACTGAAGCAAACAACCACTGAATTTGCTGTGTACAGAATCATCCAGATCAGGAGCAAGAAATGCAAGAATGCCATGAAACTCCTGTGTAATCCCACAAGCCAGTACAGAGGAATGCTGAAAAGCGACGCCGAAATCAGCAGAAACGGCAAGTAAACGAGGCCATTCGCGATGGCGTATGATGAAACTCGATAGCTCCCGCAGGAGGTTTCCTTCATGAGGATTTCCTTTTCTTGCAAGAAAATTGGCAGAGCTTCTGTAGTACTTGACAACAGAAATGTCAAGATGAATGCAAAGAGACCAACTCTTTCCTCAGCACCAACTAAATTGTGACTGAGGTTATAAAAAATTGAACCCAAGACTAGGCCAGATATCAGCATCTGAAGGCTTCTACAAGCAAAAAGTTCCTTAGTCCTGTAAATGTTTTTCCAAAATCTCTGGCTCAATATAATGGTCTCTTTGAACCTGGAATTCGCGAATTCATCCGAAAACAGAATGCTAGAATAATTCATAGCTTTCTCATCATCAATAACAGCTGATTGCAGAAACAATTGCTCTAGTGTAAACTTACTGTTTTTTGCTGATTTTCCACATTGCTCCTGATGATCATCATCTCCTCCTTTCTTGACTGATTCCAGTAACTGATGGTGCTCCTCAATCGTTTCAATCGATTCGATGGCGAATTCGACAACATTCACATGAACCGGAATGTGCAATCCCATCTCCATCATGCTGAGACCAAGCTTCTCAACCGATCCATGATGCAAAACTCTGCCATTAGCCAAAAGCAGAATCGAATTGAACAGCTTCACAATTCGAAAACCCGGCTGATGGATACTCAGGATTATCGTCCTCCCATGAATTTCCGCCATTTTCTTCAACAAATCAACGATCTGCAACGAAGCCGTGCTGTCCAATCCCGAAGTCGGTTCATCAAGCATAAGAACACAAGGGTCGTGAATAATTTCCACACCAATTGAAACCCTTCTTCTTTCTCCCCCTGAAATCCCTCTCACTCTGTCATCCCCAACCCTTGCAGAAGAAACATGGCTGAGACCCAATTCCGCCATTAACGACGTCACCCTCGACCTCAATTCCGGCTCAGGGAGTCTTAACCTGAGCCGGGCAGTGAACATCAGACTTTCTTCCACCGTGAGCAGGGGAAACAGAGTATCCTTCTGGGTAACATAGCCGGAGATTTTCTTGAACCTTGCTGCATCAAGTGGTTTCTTGTTCACGAAAATGGAAGCGGTTTTGGGTTTCAGTTTCCCAGCGAGAATCTCTAACATGGAAGACTTTCCAGCTCCACTTGGGCCAACAATGGCTAGAATCTCCCATGGTTTGGCTGTGCAGTTAATGTCTTTCAGAACATGGCGGACTTCCACCTTTGAATTTGCACCTTCTTCCGGGAGATTTTTTGGTTTTCTGATGAACAATTTTAAAGGGCATTCTCCGTTTGGCTTCGTGATTGCGTAGTTTACACCAATTGCTTGAATTTCACAACCTTGTTTCTTCATCGAACAAAAATTTTGACTGCGTTTGGTGGACTAGGAAACAAAATGATGGAACTCAAATTGTTTGCTATATCATTTCAAATTCAGCAAAGCAAATGCATTGTGAATGTGTTTGTTTAATGAAATGGTGGAGATTAATGACATGCAAACTCAAGAATTTATAGTTCAGTATTTTATTCGAAATCGAGAAGGAAAAAAAAAAAAGAGAAAGAAAAAGGATAAATGAGGATAGGATTGGGGGAATCACGGGCGGGAATTGCCTATAGTAAAGACGAATCATTTCACAAATCCAAAAGCCTCCCTGCAATACAAGTATTCCCAATGCTCTCTACTTTCGCCATTAGTAGCACCGGGGGACCAAAACCAAAACCAAAAAAATGTTCAGTTCCGAATAAATAGTTCACTTTATCAAAAATTTGTTAATTAGATAAATTGAATTACTTTTTTTGTAACGGATTATCGTACATTTTATATTAGCGTGCCTATTAGACCGTATTTTGTGTCATTCAGTCAAATGTAAGAGGGATCCTGATGTTAATGTTGAAAATAACTAAGATGGACCAAACTGACTTTTTGACTGAATTAATATTTAATACACGATACTTACGAGCATACTTCTCAAGTTTATTATTGAAATTAAGAAGATTACACTAAAATGTTTAAAACTTATCGTGGCAAGCTTATTATACATACGAAAAAAATGTATTCTACTCGTGCTAGCAACGATAATATTTGTTGGTAAAGAGAAATTAATCGATAATATAATGATGAATGTAGAGCGTTATTATGGAACTATGGGAGAAAAAAATATAAAGATTGTAAGTGAAGAGTTAATAATTTGAAAGAAAGAGCCAAAATGCATTTAATCTTTTGTATTTTTTCCAGAATGATTGACTTGAAACATGTGGCAAGAAACGGAAGGATGAGATGTGGTGGCATGTATCTTTGCATATGTGGGTGAGAACTAAAGGAAGATCATACTTGGACTATCTAGTTTGGTACGGTTTTAACCTAAGCCATCAAAGATATAATTTGGATCCCACCACCGATTGGTAAATGGACACCACAACCCAACAAAGTCAAAATTTCGAACTTTGTCGTTTGAATATCTATATCTAGTTCCTTAGTTCTTGTTAATATCTATGATTTTACGTTCAAGCTTGTTCATTTCTCAAACGTAATAATGTTATAACTTTATCGGTGCTTATAGTATAGTACATATTTGATCTAAATCTATGATTGCAAACAGTAACTATCAGACATTTGTATCATTTTTATTGATTTCGAAAACTTAATAATCTCATATTTAAGCGTTAGTATGTCCATTGTAGATAGAGGTAGAATGTTGATCATGGCTCTTATGGGAGGTTTTCTTTTTGAGTTGTAAGATATATAAGTCATTTGCACGTGACCTCTAAACCCTAACTTGATTAGAAATTTATTAGGTGTGTTGATGTTGGCATTATGTACAAATTTTGAGCGGTTCAATGACAATTTTAATATTCTGCTTACTAAAAACTTAAACCAAATTCAACCCAAAAGAAAGGGGGCAAAAAAAAACTGTTGATTCAGTCTGTGGTATCTTGTTTGTTGTTCCCTGCAGCTACACAAATGGTTGAACGAGAGCAGTAGAAAAAATGTGCAATTGCAGCAGCAGGCTTTGAATTTGTGAAATGGTTCATCTCTTACAGTAAATACTCAGCCCGTGATTTCCCAATCTCATCGTTTCATTCTTTTTCTTTTTCCCTTTTCTTTTCTCATTTTCTTTTTCTCTTTTGTATCGTCATTGACGTAGCCACTATAGTTAGTAGTAGTATTTATTACTCCCCCGTCCCATAATTATTGTCCAGTTTGAATTTTTATTTTTAGTTCAAATTGTACTAAAAGTGAAATCTCAAAATGGACAATAATTTTGGAACAGAGGGAATACTTAAAAAAACAAACTTTTATGACTTACATTTCAACACAACTCTAGCTAGGTACAAACATTTTTAACTTCTCCTAACAATTTTTTGCTTTTCTATTTCCATAAAGATTTTGAGATTAGTAAAACATCTTTTATCTATATCAATGAATTTATACTGAGTCGTATTTTGATGCCTATAAATAATTAGCATCTGTGAAACCCAATCAGAACTTCAAAAATTTCACTTTTTTGTTTCATTTGATCCTTTGCCAACCTTTGATTCTTCTGTACTTTTTTTTTTCCCACCTTGGGCACTATTCCATTAAATTAAAACAACGGAAGCTATCACAAAAGTTGCACTCGTTAATTCTTGGAAATTGAGGCGCGATCTTTATTTTGATATAAATCAAGAGCAAGTTTCTTGCAAGTAGTTGTTTTGATTTGACTCTCAAGAATTTATAGAGAGAAAAAAAAAAAAAAAGAAAAAAAAGTCACCGTTATATAACCACAAAAGTAGCACTCGTCAACTTGTGGAAATCGAGTTGCGATCTTTATTTTGATCGAAATAAAGTGTAAGGTTTGCCAGTATTAGTTTTGATTTGTCTCAGTAACTTATTGAAAAAAAAAAAAAAAATTGATCACATTCACCTGTTGAAATTGTCACGAAACCTGAACTCAAAAATCTTGAATTTAGTCACGATCTTTCTTTCAATAGAATCAAAGAGTAAGTTTCTTACAAGTACTCGTTCTGATTTGGCATAACAAAACTTATAGTCCCTCCGTCACATAATTATTGTCCAGTTTGAGTTTTCATTTTTAGTTCAAATTATATTAAAAGTGAAATCTCAAACTGGACAATAATTTTGGGACGGAAGGAGTAAAGAAATTGATGTTTCCTGTACTCGTTAAGATTATCACAATCACACTCGTCAACTCTTCATAGAAGAGTCACGATCTTTATTTTAATAGAGATAACAAAGAGTAAAGTTTCTCGTTAGTACTTGTTCTGATTGGTCTCTAAAACTTACACAAAAAATGTCGCATTTATCAGTTAAATTTATCACGAAATTTTTTCACTCATCAACTCTTGAAGAGTGAGCCAGTATTTTATTTCGATAGAAATAAGGAGTAATTTTCTTGCATACGTTGTTTCTGATTTGGGTTCAAAATAAAACTTATAGAAAAAATAATACAGTATTACATTTACCAGTTGAAATTGTTACAAAGTCATGTCAACTCTCAAAAATTGAACCGCAATTTTTATTTAGCTAGAAATTAGAATGACATTCCTCAAAATGCCAAAAAAAAGAAAAAAACGTTAATTGGTGTTCATATTATGAATCAACATTTTGGGTCTAAAATCCATAAATTTACTCTAATTATTGATCTTACCGGTCATGAAAAGCAAATATATGGTTAGATTCGATTGGCCGTACGATACCAAAGAGGGTGGAAGATCGAACTTCCCTTTGAACTTCTTTAGAATTGGTAAAAAAAATTTCCGTCTTCTTCCAATTTCATAAATTCTGAAATTATTAAAATCTTAAAGCTACAAGTTATTGTGATTTTCAGCTCTCGGGCACGGGCGAATGACTTGTGATTTTCAAAAAGACAAAAACACTTCATCTTGGATATACATAGTTGCATCTTACTTATCGCATTACTACTCTCCATTTACACTTTTCAGCATATGTTTGATTCTTGATAAATCGATTGGATATTTAATCCTTGTCTGGAAATTTTATTTGGAAAATTTGAAGCAATTCAATTCAAGTCCTTGAAAATGAAACATTTTATGGAAATACACTCCAGTTTTTTTTTCCCTTAAAAAAATAAAACCATTATCACGACGGAAAAGGAGAAATTTTTTATCTTAAGCTTCATCCTGTAGATGACTTTACTCTTCTTATGCTGTTGGACAAATTATGTTGGTGGCCAACTTTTGGTTATTCCAGTTTGGTTTCTATTTTTGTTTTTTTTTTACAGTAAAAAAGTGATTTCATTCATACTTGTTGAAAATCGTCCAGCGACAATTGAGTGAAGGCAGAGGAAATATGCAATCAAGTAGTACATTCAACTCTACTATTCTTAGCTAACACCCCAAATTCAAGTGCAATATTATTCTTATCTCGACGGATCCAAAAGATCCCCGAAGAAAATGACCAATTAATCTATTTGAGTTTCAAAGATGCACGAGGAAGACTATTAATCTAGAAAATGCATCTTCAAGCTCTAGCTCCTCAAAAACATGATCTACGTACGGGTGTTCGCAAGAAAATGAGTTATTCGGTTATTTTCTTGTTATTATTATTATTAAAGCAAATTATTAGGGGAAAGGGGTTAAGGGGCGACGTAGGTTTGTTTCATATTAAAATTTCTGTATTGTAGGTAAAGATACTAAACTTTTAACCAAAAACATCATCTGATGAACAATATAAAGGATAAATAATACGGAGTATTTCATTCGAATGTGAAGTTTTGTTTCTTTATTTATTATTATTATTATTATTATAATATATAATTTGTACTACCTTGATAATATTTAAAAAATATATATATTTTATCAAAAACAAAGTAATTCTTTGATTAGAACATAACATTTCTTACCAAAATAAAAAATATATTATCAAAAAAATAATGTTATAGAAAATGGCTTAGTTACACTATTCGATTATATCACCGAGGGATCATTTTCATTTATTGTGTCACTCCTAATCGCTCACCAAAGCTCTAACAGCAAACTTGTCATGTTAACTATTTCAGTCTTTCAGATAAATAATGCCCCAAAACAACTTCTAACTTCTAAGCATTCATGATTACGCCTACCTAATGAAGGTTTTATATCCAAGTAAAGATCACTTTTAGGGTGCCTAAATAAGATCATGGGATACCCTTATTAATGATTACTACTAAACTAAATCTTGTACCTAACGTAATTTTTTAGTTATTATTAGCTTCTTCTTTCCTTTTTTTTGTTTTGTTTTTTTTTTGGCGTAAAGCTAACTTTTTTATGTCTTCGTAAAAGCACAAGTAGAAATGATATAAAGGATTAATTGACTAAACGCACAGGCACAGTCGGACAAGAAAAGCAGAAGAAAGAAAACTCATAAAACACACACACACACACACACACAACTCTCATTTATTTTTCTTTCGTTTTCTTTGACTGTATTAAAAACAATTGTTATCGGCCTAAAACAGTCATCAGTAGTACATTGAACCAGACAAAACAAAATTGCAACAAAATTATAGCGATTGAAACTGCTAATCATTAATTATCCATATATTGACAATATATATATATATATATATATATCTATAAATTAGGTGCTTCAGGATTTCTATCACGCCACGCATTATGAAAAAATCACCATACATAATTTCTCAACGAAATTAAATCTCATTACTCAAACTCATTATGAAAATGGACATTGTAGGCCTAACTAAGCGATG